TTACTGCCTATAAAGTGTTGCGTTTCATAAATTTTATCAATTTACTTATATTTTTTTAAGTCAAGGTTTAGTTAAATCAAGATTAAGTTAAGTTTTTACTAAGCATAATTTTATGTTTTTACATATATTCTATTTTTTTATATTTAAGATCTACTTATAATGTGACTCTCATAATTATTAAGAAAAAATGTCTTGTAGCAAAAACTATTGAAGAATTTATGAAAAAGTATGTGAAAAATTAGTTTATTGTCACTGCTTTAGTTATTGCTGTGATGCATCGATCATCTTTATCAAAAAAGCATTTGTGATTTTAGTTGTAATAAGTATTGATTACAAATAATGAGTATAGTTTTTTGTACCACTGAATTTAAGCAAACTAATATAGACACATAATAATCGTAATTTATAAATACTATTTTTGCAATTGTATCTTACAACTCATTCCCTGTGATACTATTGTCCAATCTCATTATTAATCTAATCAGTACATAATGTTTTTTATACGTTTGAAAAACATTGCTTGTAGATTGGGACTGCATTTTGGCAATTGCTACTACAGGGCATCGATCATGTAACATTTTCCTTAAGGCGGAAACGTGAAAAGTTTCATGTAACTCTCTTTTTATTGGTGTTGAATAGAAATAGATAAATTTTTTACTTTTTACGTTTTCGCCTAGAAAAAATGTTACATGATCGATGACCAAGTGCGCACGCGCGCTGCGCCTTAATAGCTTTATTATAAAGAATAGTAATATTAAGAATTATAAAGAATTATAAAAAAAGAATTAGTAATACTAAAAAGTACGTATATGTATATATTTTGCATATTACGAAACATATGTATGATGTACAAAAATAGAATCATCATATTTTTTTACCTAAATCACTTTCTCGTAATAATATTCTCCATAAAAAACATTTTATTATAGAATGTTTGTAGCTTTCACATAATGTTTCATGTTTAGTTTATACATGGAATAAATTTTATTTGACAGAACAACTTTAAGAATTGCTCGATAAGTTGGCCTTTTTATTTATCACTAATTTTATAGAACATTCTATCGTCTTTATCGAGAGTACATGTTAAGCTTTTAAGCATTTATGCTAAGCTTTCGTTATATTCAAAATTGTGTTATTATTTTGCACGATGTATTAATATTATCACTACAAAAACATAATAAACGGTCACTGACCAGCGGAAGTTATTTTGGATCTTCTTCCAAGCGACTACACAAATCTTGGCACGACTTTCAAAATAGTGACTTCAAAATATAAAATTAACATAATATCTCTCTCCAGTATCACAATCTGTATTATGTAATAATGTTTTGTTCTAAAGAGAAATTACATGCTTTGTCCTAAGAAAAATTTGTTAGACATTTGTTCGTAGAAACGTAGTATTAATTGTAAAAAAATGTGATGAGAGATTGTTCATATAAATTTAGATCTTTATTTATATACATAAAAATATTTATATAAAAATATATAAAATAAATAATAAAAATTAAATATAAAAATATGTACAAAATAAAATATATAAAATATATGAAATATATAAAATATATATAATAAAATATATAAAATATAGAAATTGTATAAAATATATAAAATATAGAAAATATATTTAAAAAATATATACATATATGTAGTATAAATATATAAAGATATATAATGAATATGTGCACTATGCAATTTAATGTATTGCACATAGATGCAAAGAATAATTTTAAAGTTATATATATGTATATACGTATACCTATACATATATACTTTTTTAGATAAAGAATTATTTCAAGATTGTCCCGAAAAACTGGATATATATATTGTATATGTGGTGCAATATTTAGAATTATCTCATTATGCATGGAATATATTGTTTTAGGAAAGATATATCTCTCTCCAGATCTTATGCGTCATTTTAGTGGAAAATTTTCATCATCAACTGGACCGGTTAGCATCGAGGACCGGTTATATTTTAACAAATTTTAAAAAGTTATACGATATAAATTGTTGTGTTGCTGGACACAGACGTAGAAACATATATAGCTTCTATCATAAATACATACACAGCTGAATCGGCAAAATTTTATTTCTCCGATTTTTATGAAGATATTAATTAACAATAAGTGTAGTAATTCCAAATTGTGTTGTATTTTAATCTATTTGATCAATTTTTTTGTTTTGAAAATTTTATCTTGTTTACAACGTAATATCAAGTTCAATTATTTGTGAAATTTTTATCGTTATATTTCAATGAGCGATAATTTGATAATTATTGAGCAATAATAAGATAAATTAAAAAGTCGTTTGATGCCAATATCTGATAAAAGGTAATTGCGAAAATTTGAATTCTATAGACAAAAAAGTGTACATAGAAAAAAATACATGTATTACTTGGAACTGAAGAATGAAGTCTTATCCGCTTATCGCATTATATTATACTTATCAAGAATAACTCGTGCACTTGCATATCAGTATTTCAAGGTGAAATTTACAGTTGTAAAATGATATTTTGCATATTTTACGCGAATTTTCAATAATAGAATAGGCTCAGCGGCTGCGATAAGTAAATCTGTGATAGAGCAAAATTAATCATCACGATGGCATTATGTTTGGTAATGAAATGGTGGCAATTCCGATAAAAGCTTCTTGATAGCAACGTGGTATCTGCGTGTCATCAGAAATCTTGCAGATTTTGCAACGTAATAAGATTTTAACGCAATTGCGAGATCATTTTAATTTTAAAATGTAATGTATATAATATATGTGTTTTATTATTTTTAATTTAAATTTCGAAGTTATTAACTTTTAATTTAATTATTATAATATGTAGGCATTTTTATAAAATTGGCACTTAAAATAAATGTTAACTGATGCAGTATTAGTGAGACTCATCTAAGCATAATTATTGCTGAATACATTTCAGGAATTAATTTTATAATTATTATAACAATTATTTTTACAATCTAAAATTATATAATTATTTAAACATTCTTAAATCTAAAATTTCACAAAAAATGTAAAATAAAATGCATCAAACATGCATGAAACATGCAATATAACTTATAGTTGCAAAATTTTATTTTAGCAAAAAATTTATATTTTAAATCATCTTAACATATTTATTGGAAAAGTGTCTTATCTGGATAATTCTCGAATGATTTCGAGTCGCATAATACACGTCCACGTCTACTCTGCACAGTTATAAACTCATTAACATAACATATTATTTAAACATATCCTTTATTCTGTAAAAAAAGAGCTTTAGAAAAATTTCATGCAAAAAAGAAAACCCGTTTTTCTTTTATGTGCTTTTGTCTTAAAAGAGTTCGATAAAAAAAAATTTTTTTAACATTTTTAACTAAATAAAAATCCTTTCGAATATTCAAGCATATGTTTATGCGCACATAAATAATATTAAAATAGGAAAACATGCAAAAAAATTTTAGCATTTTTTAATTTTTACATGTATTATATAATATGTTGTGTTATTATTTTAATTTTAAATTTTGAAAATATTGATTCTAAATTTAATTATTGTAATATGTAGTAATTTTTATAAAATTGATCTAAAATAAATGCTAATAACATAACTGTAGTGTTATACAGGGATATGCAAAATGAATGTCCAAATCTGCTTAAAATAGGAAATACAAAATTAGAAATAGAAGTTTTTCATTTAAAAATGCAAAATGCTTTTAGACATACATACATACATTTAAAATAGAAAATGGAAAATAGGCATTTTTTAAATAATTTTTTGAAATAAAAATGGCTTCTTTAATATATATATATATATATATATATATATATATATATATATATACATATATATATATATATATATATTGATATACATATTTAAATTCTAATTTGTTATTTATTTCTTACAATTATTACTTACATATATTTAAATTTTAATTTATTATTAAAAATTTATTAACTTTGAAAATTTCTTTATAAACTTTCTTTTATAAACTCTTTAAACTTTTATAAATTTTATATAAAAAAATTTTATATAAGAAAATTTTATATAAAAAATTTTAATATAAAAAATGTTTTAATACAAAAAAACCAAAAATGATATAAATATATATTTACATGTAAAATTACAAAAAAATGTTCATTATTATTTATTTACTTAATAACTTTTTAATAATATTTTAATTATTATAAATATATGCATATTATTAATATCTTGATTAATTTCTAGTTTGCAAGAAAAATGCATTTCAAATATAAAATAAATAATAAAAATCATTTAAATGTAAATATAAAGTAGTTTTTGAAAATGTGTACTTTAAATGTAAAATACAAAATAGATGTTTTACATTTTACATTTCCGTTTTAAATATATTTTATTTCAAATAATGCATATCCTTGAGTGTTGGTACAAATAATTTTTTAATACAAAAATTATTTTTGATTGCTGAATACATTTTAGAAACTAATTTTGTAATTGTTATAAGAATCATTTATAGTAGTACAAAATTATAAAATTAAAAATAAAAAAAAATAAGTATTTGAAAAATAAATATAAAATAATCTTATAAATTATAAAATTATTATTAATTATTATTTAAACCCTTAAATATATCTTATTATTCTCATTCCTAAATTTAAAATTTTACAAAAAATTTAAGATAAAATGCATCAAGCATACATAAAAACATAATTACATGCAACATAATTACAAAATTTTATTGTAGCAAAAGATGTTTTGCAGAATCATCTTAACACAATTATTGTAGAAGTGTCCTTATCTGGATAGGTAACGTCATACACTCATTCACGATGAAACGTGTTTAAGGCCAACCCACGCATATAAAATTGTACGTATAATCTCATTTCCGTATCTGTGTTCTTAGATTAGAGGCGAGTTTCTTGGAGTTGCAAAATTGATTAGGTGTGAATATTTCAATACTATATGCGCTCCTTATCTCTCCTTATATACTGCGTCTCCCACATTGGTTTCCTGTTCGCCTGGTTTTAATTGCGGTTCATACGGTACGTGCATGTGGCCTTGATACCTCGAATGCATTCTTATTTTTAATAAAGATCAAGGGATTTAAAACACCTTCATCGGGGACATACGTCAATAACGAGGTCGGATTTTCTCATTGATATTAATATTACAAACAATATTTTTACATTTTCAACTAAACAAAAGTTTACATACAAACAAAACGATTAATCATATGATTTATTATATTTGTTTAAAGTTCAAAACAATTTTTTATCTATTAAAGTGATATATATATATATATATATATATATATATATATGTATACACAATAAGTCAATATTGATGCTGTTATTATATTATATCAGGTCTTGTAGTTTTGAAATTTCTTTATACATTGAAAAAAAATTATTAATTATTGATTAAACCTTTTAACCAAATTTCTATTTTGTAATTTGATCATAAATTAGTATTTAAGTCAAATATACCCGTTAAAAAAATTTTTATATATAATTATATATAAATAACTGTATAATTATACATATAATCGTAAAATTATATGTGAAATATGTCCATTTTTTATACATAATTATATAAATTTATATATAAATTATAAGGGTTTATATATAATCATGTCAAAATATATATAAAACATAAATAGTATATTTATATATATATATATGAAGAAATACTTATTTTATATATATATATATATATATATATATATATATATGAAGAAATACTTATTTATTTTATATATATATATATATATAAATTTATGTAAATTTATATAATTATATATAAAAATCACTTTTATCTAATTATGTATGGACATATTTCATATATATTTTGCAATTATATGTATAATTTTATATGTTTCTATATAATTTTATATTGTTATATATAAAAAATTTTTTAATTTAAATTATGTTATATTTATTTTAAATATGTTTATATGTTCAATTAACAAGATAATATTTAGTTGAAAGGTTTAGTCAACTTAATATCTTTTTTCAGTATATCTACTTGCTTTAATGATAAGATTCTTGCTTTGTTCCGACTCATTAACCTTTGATTACATTCACAAGAAAGTATAGCATCATTATAATCGGCGCGACGTCTTTAAATGATGTTTAATTCGCTCGATTATAATCTCTTTCTTTAGTTCACTGTGAGTTTTTCTTCACTCGCTTGTCTGACTACTAGGATTGGGTAAGTTAATGATTTTTTAAAACTAAGTTAAGTTAAAGTTAGGCGCTTATAAAATGAATTTAATTAAGTTAAAAGTTGCATAAACAAAAATTAATTCAGTTAAAGTTAAGGTAAGATTAAATTAACTGAAATTAAATTAAAAGTTAATTTTTAAAAACATTATTTATTACTTTATATTAAATTCGAATTTTGTTTGTTATTTCTTTTAAAATTTATAATAACAAATAACGAAGAAATTTTGATTTTTATATAGAAATATATTTTTGGTAATTACAACTGATAACAATATGAACATAAAAATTAATATAACTTTAATTTAAAATTAATACATTTATAAAAAACAATAATGGTATTCAAAAATAAAAAAATTTAACTTAGGAAAAAGTTAATAAGTTTAAGGTCAAAAATAATTAGTTGAAGTTAAAAATTAATACATTGTAATTTAACTGAGCTAAGTTAAAATGTATTAAGTTTTAACTAATTAACTATTAGTAATTAATAACTAATTAGTAACTAATTAAGTAAGTAGTTAGTAACTATTAACTATTTATAGTTATTATTACCTAATCCTGCTTTTTAATATATTTAATTAAATATTTTATCAATAAAATACTTTGTTTTGACTCTCTGACTCGAACGATATAACCTCTGTACAACTATAAAGAGTGGAGATATATGGCTATTCCTATTAGGGGAACTACTCGCGAGATTGAGGTCGATTTTCGGTCCGTGACGAAACCGACACGGTCTCTGCCCTAGGTCTGGTGCCAAGAATAAAGGGACGCGGAACGGAGAGCGTTTTAGCACCGGGCCGACGAGCGAGCAGACCAGAAGGAAGTAGACAGCCTTCGGAGTGTTTGTTGCGGCGCGAATATACCACTCGATTTCGCCGACACCGTTTCAGTCACGCGTAAGCAGCCGACCGAACAAAGCAGCAACGGGCACCACACATCCATGGGTTATCCGCGTCCGATTCTCCGGTTACACTAAACTGATATATTGATAACGTGACTGTGAAAGAGAAGGTACGTGCATTTATAGGCACCATACGCCTTCCGTTCATTCTCGTTGTGGGTTTATATATTTTAGTGCATATTCGATGTTCGTCAATGTGTAACGATACTGCCGATTTCAATGGTTTCTTCAGCGATTGTCGGAGCTCATTTGTTGTCGCGGACGCTTGTTCGTAACTTGGAATAATGAATGAGCGGATTTCCTTGAAATCCCAATAGAGAAAGTACGAAGTGCTTAAAATGTACATGCACAGCGCGCGCGTTTTCAAGGATTCCACGTGACGTGCAAATGGATTAAATTCAAAATTTGATATACCAATAATCTTCTCGTGTTTGAAATTACATAAGTCTTCAGAATTATTTATTACGACTGATAATATATGAGCAATAGTTAATGCGATAACTTTGAACTTGTTGCTTCAATGTTGAACGCGATAGATTTGTAACAGTGACAATTTGTTGGTTTGACAGGCTTTGAAAGTGAAATTGGAGCTACTTGGTGTAGTTTTGCGCAAATGCAGTTGCACAAAATATACTATTTTCATGGTATATATTTCTTGATATGCGAGTTTGTCGAACCCGTTGAACGTAAATATTTTCATAAGCATATTTCAGAATTAAAGATTTTTTTTTTCGAATCAATTCTGCTGTTTCATTATTTATTTATATTTGTTACATCAGCAAGATGCGTTCAGATAATTAGAGATTACGCTTTATCTTGAGAGAATTTGCAAAAAAGAATTTCGCTATAAACATTATTTTTATTATTATTATTATTATTATTATTATTATTATTATTATTATTATTATTATTATTATTATTTTATGTTGAAATTATTTATTTTGCTGACAATTCGAAATATAAATATTCAGCATCTGCTGCACATTTACACATATATCTTATTCTTATTGTGCGACTTGTGAGTCATCGGTTTTTATTATTTATGCTTGAAATTTTTCGAGAAAAAAACCGCGTGTGAAAATTTATTTTAGTGAAGGACATCTTTGTTTCAGTTTTATTAATCGTAAATTATGCATAGTTTTTTTGCAACGTTTTACCAGCATATTGAGGCTTTACTTTTTATGACAATATTTGTCATGTGCTATCCCGATGCAGATAAGTTTCTTTCGGGCTGGTGTTAATCTTTCTGCGCAAATATACATTTATACCATTTATCTCCGAAGTTCTCTCTCCACCAACATTGCATTATATTTGCAATTTTGTTCGGCGTAATATAATAAAGATTTTTTGGCAAGCATCCATCGCACTAATCAGATTTTAGCACCAAAATAAGATTTGATTACAAATAATCAGGGTTGGGTAAGCTAATGATTTTTTAAAATTAAACTAAAGTTAGTTGCTTATAAAATTAATTTAGTTAAATTAAAAGTTGCATGAACAAAAAATTAACTTAGTTAAAGTTACGATTAAATTAACTAAAGTTAAATCAAAAGTTAATTTTTGAAAACATTATTTATACTAAATTAGAATTTTGTTTTTTAATTCTTTTAAAATTTATAATAATAAATAACAAAGAAATTTTGATTTTTACATAGAAATATATTTTAATTACAAGTGGTAATTACAACTGATGACAATATCAACATAAAAATTAATAATACTTTAATTTAAAAATAATATATTTATAAAAAACAATAATGGTATTCAGAAATAAAAAAATTTAACTTAGGAAAAAAGTTAATAAGTTAATAAATTTAAGGTAAAAAGTAACTAGTTGAAGTTAATAATTAATACATTTTAATTTAACTAAGATAAGTTAGAAGTTAATAACTTTTTAACTTTTTTAAAATTTTTAATTAAATTAACTAATTATTACTCAACCTTGCAAGTAATATACGAAGTAAGATTAATTGTGCTATCTTATATGATTGAGCGAAGATGTTCATCATCGAATTCTGAAGCGTAATAGGAATTCTGCGAATTCGAATATGTATATACATATCTCTTAGGCAATGCACCTGTATATTTCGAAATATCACGTGCGTTTCACGTGATACGATTATGAATTATGCCGGCATACCTTTGTAAATGTTTATATAGATAACCAAGAAAAAGTTTTATTTTTTCCGGCAGCATACTTCAAGGATAACAAGTGCAATAATAATTTAGATCAGCGATTGTATATCGAAGCAGGAAATAGTGAAGAAAATCAGTAACACTTACGACGCACACGATAGAAAAAATTTCCATTGAATAGAAATATCATTATTTCGTGCTACATCGTTCGCATTATTAAGGTTCAGCTTGCGAAACATTCTTTAATTGCCTTATTTATACGAGCAAATGCTAGACGGAAAAATTATATATTTTTAACTTACATTGGATCGCGCGTTTAATTTTTGATAAGAATAGGTCGGGCATGGCTTATCGTATATAATGATACTGATTTATCTCATATGATTGACAAACTTATGTATGTATATATAATATATAAGCCCAGCCAGAAATGATAGTTACATCGACGTCGAACCGACATCGAATCGATGTCAAATCGATGTCGAATTGGTCGAATCGATATCGATTCGACGTCTTTTCGACCGATTATTTCTGACTGGGAGGCCGAATGTATGTAATTTAAAACTGCTTTTAAAAGATTAAATATTAAAATGCAGGAAGATTATCATTACCGTATAAGCTATTTAACATAAATTTTTACAATAAATAATATATATATTATATTTTATTTTAAAAATAATATATCAATTTTCCATAATATATCAGTTTTTTATCTTTTAAATTATATTATTTTTCAAATATTATATTATCAAATTTTTAGATTTATTTGAATTTTAGTAATCATATTATTTTTCGATATAAATTCGAAAGATAATTTTTTGAATTATGTTATCCAATTCTTTAGATTTAATTGCAAAAATATTAATAAAGTTTCAAAATTTTTTAAAACATTTTTAAAAATATACTCGGAACATATTACATTCTTTTATACTACGCATTTTTATTCGTCGCTCTAAGTTTAATCTCGTTATTTCTTACAGACGATTTACGCGATTACATTTACTTACATAAGTAATGTAACTTTCTATGATGTCTGATAAATTTTGAGGAATACTGCTGTTATTCGCGAGAAAAAAAATCCGAGGAATTTCTTTCTCTAAAATTCTTCTTTCTTTTTTTTTCTTTTCGTAGAAGCAAAAATGTCAAACGTTATTGGCGCTTTATTAAAACAATCGCAGTTCGCGTCTGATAAAAATGCACGTGACCGGTTAACTAACCGGGAGCCGGCGAACACTTCTATTTTGGTGATGTCGTCGCCAGCGGTAACATTGCCAAAAAGTGAATTTGCATCGGTCAAAGCAGACACGTGACGCGCAGACAGTGACTTGGGTTGTTTCAGAAAGAGAGTTCTCGGTCTCAATTAGCCGATCCATTATATATCGTGAATTTAATTTGACAGCTGTGTATGTGATAGCTTGGCATAAATTCGACAATTGTATTGTGGTAATTTATAAATTGCAATAATTGTCCTTGTCATTATTATGATTTAAGAGAGTCGGTTAATCGAATGATATTATACTCTACTTAATAATGCCATTCTGCTTCACTTTGACCGACATGATCACGTAGTCGGCATGTTGAAAAAACTTCTGACGAATTACGAGAGCAATTACGACGATTGCATTAAGTTGACTAACTGAATAAGTACGTCGACGGTATATTTATCGTGATGATTATATGATTAACTAACAATAAAAAGCGGAGTATAAATTCGACGAATATCGTGTCAGTTTTTTTATCGTGTTAGCTTTCTGTTATAAGATTTTTTTTTACGTAGGATATATCCCTGAGTTGGTTATTTTAAATCATTCGATAGTTGTATAATCTTGCGTTTCTATTTATTTTGCATATTGAACGTTTCTTCAATCGTACTTATCTATCTGAATAATCGGATCTTATTACTTGAAAAAAGAAAAAAAATTAATATAAATGTTACGTTACCTCAATATACTATTTAATTGCATAATTAACATAAATTATGTGCATTATAAATATGTGCATTATAAATTTTAATGTGAGTATTAATAGTTAATGTGCATTAGAAATAAATATTATAAATTACAATGTGATGAAGTATAATTATTTTACTTGCTACATTTGAATTGACTTTTATATTTTATTTAAAACTTTCGGATTTTATCTTATCGGATCTTGATGAGCCGCGAATAATTCTAATTCTGTCAAGTACATATATAATTCGTATATTTACGTCTGTAATTCTGACAATGAGAAAAAAATGGATTATTAGAAAAATTATATTGTCACATTCTTGTAAAACATTCGTTTTAAAATCACATAGTTTATTTGTCTGCCCGTTACAATCGCTCAATGATAAACTATATCAGTCAAATATGAGTCACATATATGGATGTGCAAAATAATATCGAGGATTTGATAAAGTGTATTGTTTAAGATATATAAAATGTGTATACGTGTATGTAACAGATAAATATATACATATGTATATATATTTGTTTCATACATATATACACAAATAAACACGCAAGATTCTGTTTTACCGAGATATTTATGTATTAAATTGCTCAATCCTGTCATATGCGTATGATCTTTTATTTCTGTCGTATTCGAATAGAAAAAGATTTGTCTATAAAATTATTCCGTCTACGTATATATATATATATATATATATATATCTTCGTCAATAACTTTTCATTTAATACGGTATTGAGCAACAAGTTCGTTATGTAAGTTACTATACGTATAATAGCAGGTTAAGAATAACGCGTCAGTATATTTGCAATTCTTTACTATTTAGCGTTATCTATTGCTGTGTATTAAATGCAAGAGCGCTATTGAACTCACTTTACGAACAATTTTGCAATTACCCGGCCTTTTTCTACGTCAATTATGTTTTGCGAAATGTTTTGCGTTTGTATATTATCCTCCTATAAATAGCGAGTAATCTTTTCGCGCGTATTTCGCAGATAATGATTGATTGAGCGCTCCTATGTAA